GCGATGGCTGGGCATGCTTCTCTCGTTCGCACCTGCCACTGGTGGCTCGCACCTGCGACTGTCCAAGCGCAGGTGCGATTATGATAGTAGCTGGGAGCTTCAGTCCTTGATCAATTTCTCAAAATTGGTCCGAGCCTCGTCCGGTTAACACTCGGGACCCCCGGGGGGCCGTCCGAACATGCCAACAGGTTTGAACTCATAAAATGGACTTGCTCGAACACACGAAATGAGTAAAACAACATAAAATCTAGGAATCACACCGCAACCCAAATTGATTCAAACTCAAGAATTTCAAGTTCTTCAATTTACTTCCAATGCGCCGAAATATACTTAAACTACTCAGAATGACATGAAATTTTGTGTGCAAGTTTTAAATCACTATACGGAACTATTTCCAAACTCGGAATTCGAAACAAACTTCAATTACTCATAGACCTACCCCAAACAAAATTTAAAGAATTTTAAACCTTCAAATAGTTAATTTTTACTATTAAGCGTCAAAATACTTTCAAGTTATCCAAAACCCGATTCGGACATACACCCAAGTCCAAAATCATCATATGAACCTATTGGAACCGTCAAATCCCGATTCCTGGATCATTTTCTCAAAATGTTGACCGAAGTCAAACTTGTCCATTTAAAGCTAACTTAAGGAACCAAGTGTTCCGATTTCAACCCAAACGCTTCCAAATCACGAACCAACCATCCCCGCAAGTCAATAATCATTAAAAGCATATTCGGGAAGTATTAATTTAGAAAACGAGTTTCTAAAAGTTAAAATGACCGGTTGGGTCATTACACCTTCCAATTTATGTTACAATCTTTCCATTTTGGTATGTTCCAAAGGAATATATGAATTAATTTTAAAGATCTCCTTTTCACCTTAATGAGATTAATGAGATAATTTACACCCATACAAATATCTACGTCACAAGTTTTAAAAATCTTTGTTTTTTTCTAAAACTTTATATCTAATCAAACATTGTCACATAAATTAGGACAAGGGGACGAGACCCTCCGCCTCAACTTATGAAATACACAACATGTGAAATGTAAGAAGGTTCACCAAATAAACTATTCCTAGACCCAAAAAAGTGGTATCATATTGGATCGGAGGAGGTAAATAATTTTATTCCTTGTTCGCGCTCAACTACAGAATTCAGTGCATTAATGCTGATCTATTATTAAATTGTAGGAATATAAGTAAGATAACAATAAAGGAGGAAACTACCTAAAAATGCGAGTTTCCCGCAATCGAGAGGAAAGTCAAAAAGAAAGACTTGTTTATTTCGACCAAGAAAATATAAAACAATCCTGGATTCGTGTATTTTGTTTTTCATATTTGTGAAAGAAAAAATTGGATTCCATTTCCTAAAATCTAAGGCTCAAATTCTTTGCGATTGTGGAGGAAACGCGACTGGGTCCAACTTCCTTTTTCTTTAACGTTAGAGATCATACACCACGAAAACTGCATGCGACTAACAACTTGTTTGGCTGGTTCTTACCCATCGTTTTATAATATATTGTATAAGGCTCAAATTCTTTGCGGTTGTTGAGGAAAAGCGACTAGGGTTCAACTTCCTTTTTCTTTAATGTCACAGATCATACACCACGAAAACTGCATACAACTAAAAACTTGTTTGGATGGTTGTTACCCACTGTTTTATAATGTACTGTATTGTGTTGTATTGTATTGTGTCCTATCATTTTATAAATACAACGTTTGGATAGATTATATTGTTTATTATTGTTAAATAATATTTTGCTGTTTTATTTGACCGTATCGTACTGTACTGTAACTGATAAGTTTACGAAAATACTCTCAATTATTTATATTAAATTTATCAAGAATTACGCATAAAGATAATTTAAGAAAACCTATTTCTACTAATTTATCACCAAATATGTCTTATAAATACATTAAGCAATTAAATTCATGCAAATTCTAACAAAAGTAGCAATTTTACGTGACAGAAGTTCTGAAAAAAAGGGAAGAAGACAAAGTAGGTTATAGGTAAGAGATTAGGAGTTAAAATAAAGAAAAGATAAAGGGTAAAAGAGAATTATGGAGTAATAAGTTAGGGCATAATTGGTAAGAAAAATAGGAAACAATGCCACCACACTAAATCGGTTGTTTAAATTCTTGATCGATTAATTGACTGGAATTATGCCACCATGAATTAAGAATTGGAAGGGTTGTGGCCTTTATCTTGCTGGGCTATCAATAGAGTAAGCTGGATATGCTATTCCATTTGTAATTCATGTCTTTTTAATTGTCTTAACATTTGAATCAGACTAAAGAATCCAAATTGAAGAGATAAAGGGCAGTCAAGCCAACTCCTATGTCATTTGCATTGGGAAGTGGGAGGAATATGGTATCTGAGCTTGTCACATTGATTAAACTTTAGCGAGATTTTAGTCCATATGGTAGTAGCAAAGGTTGTAAGCTTGACAGATCTAATTTGCTGTATGAAATTTTAGGTTTAACGTTTGTTGTTGTTTCTGGTAATTGGAGGGAATGGCATATGTTTAGATTAGTTTTTGTTGGAGGTCTTGGTTAACTAGTTTGGNTTGTGGAAAACATTGACAATCGACGTGCTTAAATTGGTGGGTTAGGATCCATTATCAATTTTAGGTAGGATTTATCTCTTTTTTTTTTTAATTACTCCCTCCCTTCTAATTTATGTTACAATCTTTCCATTTTGGTATGTTCCAAAATAATATATGATTTAACTTTAAAGATCTCCTTTTAACCTTAATGAGATTAATGAGATAATTTATACCCATACAAATATCTACGTCACAAGTTTTAAAAATCTTTATTTTTTTCTAAAACTTTATATCTAATCAAACATTGTCACATAAATTATGACAAGGGGACGTGGCCCTCCGCCTCAACTTATTAAATACACAACTTGTGAAATGTAAGAAGATTCACCAAATAAACTATTCCTAGACCCAAAAAAGTGGTATCATATTGGATCGGAGGAGGTAAACAATTTTCTTCCTTGTTCGCGCTCAACTACAGAATTCAATGTGTTAATGCTGATCTGTTATTAAATTGTAGGAATATAAGTAAGATAACAATAAAGGAGGAAACTACCTAAAAATGCGGGTTTCCCGCAACCGAGAGAAAAGTCAAAAAGAAAGACTTGTTTATTTCGACCAAGAAAATATAAAAAAAAATTGGATTTGTGTATTTTGTTTTTCATATTTGTGAAAGAACAAATTGGATTCCATTTCCTAAAAGATAAGACTCAAATTCTTTGCGGTTGTGGAGGAAAAACGACTGGGGTCCAACTTTCTTTTTTTTTAACGTCACAGATCTTACACCACGGAAACTGCATACGACTAACAGCTTGTTTGGATGGTTGTTACCCATCGTTTTATAATGTATTGTATTGTGTCGTATCATTTTATAAATATAACGTTTGGATAGATTGTATTGTTTATTATTGTTAAATAATATTTTGCTGTTTGGTTTGACCGTATCGTACTATACTGTAACTAATAAGTTTACGAAAATACCCTCAATTGTTTATATTAAATTTATCAAGAATTACGCATAAAAATAATTTAAGAAAATCCCTTTCTACTAATTTATCACCAAATATGTCTTATAAATACATTAAGCAATTAAATTCATGCAAATTCTAACAAAAGTAGCAATTTTACGTGGCAGAAGTTCTGAAAAAAAAGGGACGAAGACAAAATAGGTTATAAGTGAAAGATTAGGAGTTAAAATAAAGAAAAGATAAAGGGTAAAATAGAATTATGGAGTAATGAGTTAGGACATAATTGGAAAGAAAAATAGGAAATAATGCCACCACACCAAATCAGTTGTTTAAATTCTTGATCGATCAATTGACTGGAATTGTGCCACCATGAATTACGAATTGGAAGGGTTGTGGCCTTTATCTTGCTGGGCTATTGATAGAGTAAGCTGGATATGCTATTCCATTTGTAATTCACGTCTTTTTAATTGTCTTAACATTTGAATCAGACTAAAGAATCTAAATTGAAGAGATAAAGGGCAGTCAAGCCAACTCCTGTTCATTTGCATTGTGAAGTGGGGTGGGGGGGAGGGGGGAGGATATGGTATTTGAGCTTGTCGCGTTGATTGAACTTTAACGAGATTTTAGTCCATGTAGCAGTGGCTAAGGTTGTAAGCTTGACATATCTAATTTGCTGTATGAAATAATTGGAGGGAATGACATATGTTTAGATTAGTTTTTGTTGGAGGTCTTCGGTTAACTAGTTGGGGGGATCTGTTTTGTCTGCGACGTGCTCAAATTGGTGGGTTAGGACCCATTATCAATTTTAGGTAGGATCTATCTCTTTTTTTTTAATTACTCCCCCCTTCCAATTTATGTTATAATTTTTTTCTTTTTCGTATGTTCCAAAAGAATATATGATTTAACTTTAAAATTCTCCTTTTAACCTTAATGAGATTAATGAGATAATTTACACCCATACAACCATATAAATATCTACGTCACAAGTTTTAAAAATCTTTTTTTTCTTTCTAAAACTTTATATCTAATCAAACATTATCACATAAATTAGGACAAGGGGATGAGACCCTCCGCTTCAACTTATGAAATACACAACTTATGAAATGTAAGAAGGTTCACCAAATAAACTATTTCTAGACCCAAAAAAGTGGTATCATATTGGATCGGTGGTGGTAAATAATTTTCTTCCTTGTTCGCGCTCAACTACATAATTCGGTGGGTCAATGCGGATCTATTATTAAAAACTACCTAAAAAAAAAAAAAAAAAAAAA